GGGGATCTTGTTGTAATCTGCCCCTTTCAATGCTTTATTGACTCAAAAATACTAAAAAAATAATGGAAATATCACCTTCCTATGGCATCTTTCTAAAGTTCCCACTCTTTCCTCTGTGTCTGCTATACACCAACACACTGTCACAATATTGTATTCAGTTAGTTATATGCCGGGTTTCTGAATTGTCCTCCTTGAGGAAAGTGAACTTTCTCTTGCTCATTTTGGCTTCTCCACAGATGTGTTCTGGGTCTGGTATATATAATACGGGGTGGCTGGATAAATGTTGCATGACTCTCTGATCTCAGGGAAAATGCAAATCACTTCATACCTGTAAGAATAGTTAGTATCAAAAAGACAAAAGATTCTTGTTGGCAAGAATGTAGAGAAAAGGGAACTCTTATACACTGTCAGTGAGAGTGTAAATTAGTACAGCTATTATGGGAAACAGTTATGGAGGTTTCTCAAAAAGCTAAAAACACAACAACCTTAAGATCCAGTAATCCCACTACTGGGTCTATGGCCAAAAGAGTGAAATCAGCATGTAGAGGTGATATCTATATTTCCACATTTATTGTAACACTATTCACAATAGTCAAGACATGAACTCAAAGTCAACCTAGGTGTCCATCAGTGGGTAAGTGGATAAAGAAAATATGGTACATATTCACAATAGAATACTATTCAGTTCTAAAAAGAATGAAATCAAATCATCTGTGACAACATGGATGAACCTGAAGAATATTATATTAAGTGAAATAAGCCAGGCACAGAAAGACAAATGCTGCATGATCTCACTTATATGTAAACTAAAAAAAAAGGTGATCATAGGGGCTGGAGATGTGGCTCAGTGGTAGAGCACTTGCCTGGCATGTGTGAGGCCCTGGGTTCGATCCTCAGCACTATATATATATGTAAAAGATCCATTTACAACAAAAAAATATTTAAAAAATGATCATAGAAGGACAGAGATAGAATACTGTTTACCAGAGGCTTAGATGGTTGGGGTATGGGAGATGCTGATCAAAGGACATATATTTACAGTTAGATAGGAGTGGGGGGGAAGTTCAGGATAGGCAAATATATAGAGACAGAAAGCAAATAAGTGATTGCCTGAAACTTGGGGGTGGGAGATAAATTGGGAATAACTACTAATGGTAATGGAGTTTCTTGGGTGATGAAAATGTACTAAAGTTGTGGAGATGATTGTACAACTCTATGAATATACTAAAAAGCATTGGAGTCTATATTTCAAATGGGTGAGTATATGCTATATGAATTATCTCTTTTAATAAAGCTGTTTTAAAAAATAAATGTTGAGGCCAGGCGTGGTGGTGCATGCCTGTAATCCCAGCAACTCAAGAGGCTGAGACAGAATTGAGAGTTTGAGGTCAGCCTCAGAAATTTAGCAAGGTCTTGTCTCAAAAAAAAAAAAGGGGGGTTGGGGATGTGGGGATGTAGCTAAGTGTGGTAAAGCACCCCTTGGTTAAATCCCCCCCACCCCCCCCCCCAAAAAAAAGCTGAAAGAATAATGAGCAAAATAAGATTTTTGAAAAACTTTTGAAAAAGCACTTTAAAAGTAAATGTTTATTTCAAAACCTGTTTAAATAAAACACAGCCTAGACTGTGTACCTGACATACAGTTGGTGCTCAATAAATATATTTCTCCTTCTCCTTTCTCCTTCTCCTTCTTCTTGTACTGGGGATTTAACCCAAGGGCACTTTACCACTGAGTACATCCACGGCCCTTTCTATTTTTATTTCAAGACAGGGCCTCATTAAGTTGCTGAGGCTGGCTTTGAACTTCAGATCATCCTGTCTCAGCCTATAGAGTTGCTGAGATTAAAAGCATGTTCCACCAGGCCCAACTCAATAAGTATTTTTTTTGAATAATGAATACTTAGAATCTATCAAAAGTACTTTCAATTTACTGTGACCTTGCAATCTGGGGCCCTTATAGCTCTGTAAGCAAGGGAAGCCACAGAATAAACAATGGCACACCTTTCTCAGGTATAAATTGTTTGAAGCTTTTGGAAGTTATTCAAACAAAAGGTGAAATAAAAAAAATCTACATTCCTTTTAAAGAAAAGTATACTTCTTCAAATATATATTTTGCTTCTCAGGGTCATTTGGAGCTTTATTTTCAGACTTTCTGAGTTTAGTGTTATTTTTCCATTGGTAGTAGGGGTGCTTTGCAGGAAAATCTGAGTAGTACTGTGGAAAGGGGGCAAAATTGCGATGTATGCAGTCGAGGGGAGAAATAAAGAATGTCCACGCACTTCTGCCCCTTTCAATGCTTTATTGACTCAAATTACTCAATACAATTTCACTCGATAGCTTCTTTTTTTTCCAGTTTTGTGCCCAAAACAGTACCTCACTACTTTTTTTTATTATTTATATATAATAGCAGAATGCATTACAACTCTTATTACATATATAGAGCTCAATTTTTCATATCTCTGTTTGTATACATAGTATAATCATGCCAATTCGTGTCCTCATACATGTACTTTGGATAATAATGATTATCACATTCAACCATCATTAATTAACCCATGCCCCCTCCCTTCTCCTCCCACCCCTCTGCCCTATCTAGAGTTCGTCTATTCCTCCCATCCTCCCCCTCCCTATCCCACTATGAATCAGCTTCATTATATCAAAGAAAACATTCAGCTCCACTCATCTACAGAAGGGCATCTAGGTTGGTTCTACAGTTTAGCTATTGTGAATTGTGGTGCTATAAACATTGATGTGGCTGTGTCCCTGTAGTATGCTGATTTTAAGTCCTTCGGGTATAGACCGAGGAGTGGTGATTCCATTCCCAATTTTCTAAGAAATCTCCATACTGCTTTCCATATTGGCTGCACCAATTTGCAGTCCTACCAGCAGTGTATGAGTGTACCTTTTCCCCACATTCTCACCAACACTTATTGTTGTTTGTATGCATAATAGCTGCCATTCTGACTGGAGTGAGATGAAATCTTAGTCATTCTCTAGGTTCTTAATCAAGAAAACAACAATCCTTAACGCTAGGCACTGCAATAGACATAATTAATGCATAGCAAACAATTCTAGATTAATTAATTCACAGCAAATAATTCTAGATTAACTCTAAGCACTACAAAACACACTTAATCATGATAGGCTAATGACAGACATTCCCCCTGCACACTAAGTTCAAAAGTCTTAAGCCTTAGGCTTTAGGTCCACCAGATGTACACTCACTTAGACCGCGGTGACCAGGTTTGGAACCAAGGCAGGCTCTTCCTGGCATGGAGTGGTCAGCCTGTTGAGGAGAGAGTCGTAGGGAGAAGTTGTGGCTCTCACCAGGGTCCAGACGAGGTGGTAAAGTTTGGAGCTGTTAGGATCACACGGAGGATCAGGAAACCATGACAAGTGATGGGATGTCAGGTCCTCATCAGGTTCTCCAGCTCAAGTGTATCCTTGTTTCGGCTGTCTGAATCCCTGTTCACTAGCTCTATTACTCATACTAAATTTTGGGGCTTTTGATCCCCCCTTTCAATCCTTATCAGCTACCACTGGATTTCTCCATGACATCATTTACCTTGGGGTCAGAAACATCTGGTCTGGTGGTATCCACCCTGATCTTCTTGCTTTTCCCTCTCATCAGGCAAGGACAGCCTGCCAGGGGCTTCACTCTGTTTATCAGGGTGAGGGTAAGTAACTTGTCTGAGGCCATACTGGAGGGCTCTGTGGGTGTACCTGGTGAGACTGCAGGTTTCAAACTGGAATTTTTAAAATGGAGTTACTTAGGTTCAGGCCTGAGGCCATCCTCACAAGTAGGCACATTTTGTGATTTGTGCTTTATATCTTTGTAAAAGAGGGTAAATTATAAATAAAGAAAGATACCAATTGTTAACATCTGTATCAGTTTAATTTTTATAAAGCAACTTTCATATTATCTTTTCTGGGCTTCACCATCTCTCTTTGACTAGAACACAGAGCAGGGATTATTAACATCCCCTTTTTATTGATTAGGCAATTGAGATTTAAAATATGTTCTATGGTATGAAATATGATATGTCAAGAGCTTTGTAATGTTTTGAACAACTAATAATATATATATACTCTATGGTCCTCCTGGGAATGTGGCAGGGAGATTGCTGTTATTAAAGAAAAAATATTTGGATACTTATTAAAACATAATTTTAAAATTGTTTTGACGCTCTTGGAGATGAAACTAGGCTTGGCACATGCTAGGAAAGCTTACTCGACCACTGAGCCACATCCCCTTGATGAAGTATTCATTAAAGTCCATTGTAATAGCAGTTCTAACTGATATGGGGGGCGGGGGAGAACTGAGCGAAACTCAGAAAACAGCAAAGACAGCTGGAGACTTATAGCCAAGAAACAAGTGGATGGAAAATTACTAGGAGGAGAAGAACATCAAAGGCAGGGGGATTCTTAACAAAGGCAGGCCAAGAATTTATACATCACAGGCGGGGGAATAAAAGAAATATCCTCAGATATCAAGTGTCAAAATACCAAGAGTGATCAGGTGTCAGGATGAGAGGATGACTTAGCAGTATTCTGCTAGGACAAAAAGGAAGGCCATGGTACAGCCCAGTAGACAGAAGACTCGGAGAAGCCTAACTAAAATTTGGTTACGGAGAATCTTTGTCACCGTCTACTCAGACCTCTTCATTACCCATTTCCAAAGAAGAACAGAGGGGTGGCAGGCAGCCGAGGCTCTGGGATCGTGGACCGGAGGCTTAGTTCTCCATTGAAAGCAGAACTGCCTAGCAGCCAGGGTTAAGGTGGCCGAGTGCAGAGATCACCAGCAGAATGCGCAGGGGAGCAAAGGCTCCAGACCCTGCTGCCTTCACGCCTGCCCCGCCAGCCCGGACTCAACCTCGGGGCGGCCTCCGCAGGTCGGCAGGGCGGGGCCGGCGCGCTGATTGGCTGCCCGCCCCGGCCGGGGTTTCCCCGGCCCCGCCCTGCCGCGCTCCCACAGCCTGCGAGGCCGCGAGCTGGATGGTCCGGCGCTGCCCGGCGGGTGGGGCCCCAGCCTGCGTTCCTCCCTCCCAACCGGTCCTCATCTTTAAAGCACGAGTCCCATGCCCCGCCTGTTGGAGAGGGCGCCGGGATCCGCACTGCGAGCAGTCGGGGCAGGCCGGGGCCGACCGAACAGGGCCTCAGGCGACAGGGCTGCTGCGGCCGGCACGCGAGTGCCTCGGACCCGAACGAGTGTTTGCGGGAGCCGCGAGGGGAGGGGTCCCCGGCGCCATTGCTAGTGACCGGAGCTCCGCCGGGCTCCAGTTTGCCCTCCGCTGTTCTCCTCCGACCGGGAGGGGCTGTGGCCAGTCCCGAGGCCGGGCTCGAGAATCCGGTGCCTCGGCCGTCCGCCCGCAGCTTTGTCCGCCGCCTGTGCGGGGGGGGGTCCGGGCCGAGACCATGTTTGACAAGACGCGGCTGCCGTACGTGGCCCTCGATGTGCTGTGCGTGTTGCTGGGTACGTACGCGCTCCGGGCCGAGGGGCGTGTGCGCGCGGGCCCGCGGTGGGGTGCGCCAGAGTGTGGGCCGGGGTCTTTTGGAAGAGGACTGACTGCTGCAGTGCCGAGGACTGGCGAGGCGGGGGGGGGGGGGGTGTGCCTGACGCGCGCGCTGCCACGGGGCGAGACGCTGGGGCGGCTTCTGCAGCCCGGGACCCCGCTTTGCAACCTGCACCCTAGCCCCCGCGTGACCTCCTGTCTGTCGCCCGCGGGTGTGCTGAGCCGGCCTCTGCTTGGACGCTGTTCACGCCTCTGCGCTCGGTGCCTTGCTGCTGTCCTCTGTTTCCCGGTCCACTCTAGCAGGCAGGGTGGGCTCCTCCCTCTCAACTCGGAGAAACCTGGTCGCTGGCTCCTCAGGTTCTGTAGCGAAACTGGAGATTTGATGCACTAGGGCTTCTCAGTAGCAGGCGCCAGTGCCTGGCTTATTTTACTTGTGGGAAGCAGTTTGATTTTTCGGCTATAAAAGGCTAGAACGTTTCTAATTAGAAGGTGTTGCCAGGTTGTAAATTGTCAGGTTGCATATGGGGATGAGGATGCCAAGTTTCTGCCTATAGTTCTGAAGAGGCTTGCTTTTAGGGGAATGTATCTCAGACCTGCTGTTTCTTTTTCTGCGCAAACCTTGCCATGGTATAGCTTCCATTTCCTATGACAGCCCGCAAGAAGCACTAGACATTTTTAAGCTGCAGCACATTTGGCGAAGTTTTCCTGATTGGACAACTTCTGTTCTGGGTTTCTGATTGTCAGGTGCTTCTTCCTGTTGAGGAAGAATTGGAATCATCTGGATAAGGGTTAGGCGTTGGAAGGAGTTGGTTTCACCTTTTAAAATATATATTATGGAAGGCAGCTATGTTGTGAATTATGTGTGTTATGGAAAACAACAAAATCTGCTGGAGCTTTGGGTAGTACGACTCATGTTTAAGTAATCTAAGTAGTACTACTGGCAAATTCCCAGGATCTGAGATGTCTGTTTTTTAGCATCCTAGATGCAAATCTGAATAATGGCTTTTCAGAGAAAAGAAATTCCCCTGGTTTTAATCCAATAGTTTCTGAGTATTCTACTCTCTTGCTTCAAACTTGACCTCTTAGGTGCTTGCGATATTGTCTAATCTGTTTAAATTTGACAAGATTGTTTTTATAGACAAAATTTCTTTTTGATATATATATATAGATAGATTTTTTTTTGTTGTTACCAGGACACCTACTTTATAGCTTCACGGTGAATTTTAGGAATTAAGCTTAGGAGAGGGGAATACAGTTTTGGAACAGTCTTTATAGAAATAGTCCTTTCAGATGTCAGGGCATAGTAATTAAAATATATTCAGATTTATTCATTTGTAATGAAAACTTTACCTTTGCTAAAGATGCTACATTGAAAATATACTGTGATGTATTCTGCATCAGTGGAACTTGGTTAAACTTCATTTATATTTAGTGAAGGAAGAGGAAAATGTTCAATCAGGAATTTTGGTAATGAGTCTATTGGATAACATCCTTAATAGCTATATATTGTGTAATTTTTATGTATCAACGGTACCCTTTCCTGCCTACTGGGAGTTATTAATTTATAAAGCATGATTTTTTTTCTCCCTGTGGACCTAACACTGATGAGTAGGGATGAAACATACGTACTACTCTTAGGTAGATGAAGCTAAAGTTATTAAACACAAAGTCATATGGTAGATCTGTATTAAAAAATTATGTAGAGTGGGGGAACCTATAAGCAGTATAACTTTATAAATTTCAAGTTCTTGTTGCATATATATATATATATATATATATATATATATATATTTTTTTTTTTTTTTTGGTAACAGGGATTGAACTCAGGGCCACTCAACCACTGAGCCACACCCCGCAGTCCTATTTTTTTTGTATTTTATTTAGAGATAGGGTTTCACCTAGTTGCTAAGCACCCCACCATTGCTGAGGCTGGCTTTGAACTCGAGATCCTCATATCAGCTTCCTGAGCCACTGAGATTACAGGCGTGTGCCACCACATCCGGCCTATATTTTTAATATGATGCATACATCACATAATTGTCCTATTAGAGGTTAATTTTAGTGCTACATTGATCTGGCAGTAAAGTAACTATGATGACTTTGAAAAAGACATTTGAAATGTTTTGGTGGTTTTGGAAAAAGCTTTCTTTGGGGACTTATGCATTTAGTTTAAGATACTTCATGTATTTGAAACATATTTATCTGTTTTCATATTATTGAAATTTCTTTTGAAGTATATTAAGTGTATTGTAAAGATAAGGTCAGACTTCCCTTTTCCTAAATAGAAAGTGATTTTTTTAGTACTGACTTAATTAGATAGGTAAGATGACATTAGAGTTAACATCAACTCTCCATTATAACAGTGAGTAAAAGCAGTGGTCCAGAAGATTGAAAAGTTTGTCATGCCAACTTTTGGAAGACATATTTATAGCAAACTTATCCTTTCTAGTAGAGTCTAAGTATCATATTAAATTTGGTTTTTATTCACCTCACTGACAGCAGGAGTTTGGCTGCCTTGCAGCTTGAAAAGGGTTATTAACGTTTTCCTTTTTCTGTGAGGCATTCATAGGTAGAAGTTGACTACCAACAAAAAGATGATTAAGCACTTCATAAGTACAGGGTTATGTGAAAATGATTCATAATTATAATGTGCATATGTTCCAGATTCTGTTAATGACCACCCGAACATTGTACAGTATATCCATTTTAATGATATTATGTGATTTTCTTACATAAGTGCTTATAATTTTACCAAGGACGATGCCTGTTGATGTGATCAGTAAATATGCATCTCTCTCTTGGTGTGTGTGTGTGTGTGTGTGTGTGTGTGTGTTGTCCCTAAATCATCTTTATTATCAGTGTGAAACATGAATTCTCTATCTGAATTGTTGGCTCCTTCAGGAAATCTGGTAAGCCCTTGGAAAAAGAATGAGCATTTTGAAAGGTTAAGTATATTTGAATCCTTTCTGAAATGAATCATAATCTTGCCATCTTTCCCTAGTTCTTTTGATGACTGATAATAAAGGCCATATACATTGAGCACATGAGAAAAGCTGGTCTGCAGACAATGATGGTGGGCTGATACTGTTTTAGCCCAGTTTATTAAGGCATGTACAGAATATAACTTGTTAGTTAATTGCTAAAGGTCATTCCATATTTTAGCCACCATGCCATTAGGCAGCCAGTTAATTGACCCTGAGTCCTTTAATTGATTCAGTGCGCATTGAAAGGCCAACTTTGTACTTTGTTAGGTACTAGTGATACAAAGATAATAGGACAGTCTCTGGACAAATAAGAGGTTATAATATGTCATGATAAGTTTAATAATGCAGTTATGGAATAGGTACCTTTTGAGCAGAGGAGCAGAGAAGGGCCTTATCTTAGGTGTATTCCATTTATAGAGAGATGGCTTATTTTTTTACTTTTAGAGATGCAGAATGTCAGAAGATGCCTAGAATTACTTGTAGACTTTTTTTTTTCTTTTTTTCAACTTGACCTAGGGCATTAGGAACCTAAGTAAGTACCTATACTTATGACTTATTTGCAGTGCATGTTGTTTACAAGATTTAGGTGGAACTGGCAAAAGCTATATATCTATGTTTTGCTGGGTGGTGATCATTTGGAATACCTTTCTGTGTTACCTATTCTCCATTTGCCCCACCAGCTCTTTTCTCCACCCTGCTCTGTGCTCTGGGAAGAACTTACATGGGCTATGTCAATTGAGCCCTTGTCTTGGTTTCTAGTTGGCTTTGGCCAATGTGAGGGATATCAGCAGGAGGCCTGGAAGAGCCACTTCACTCCTGCTGGATTTTGGATGTTCTGAGTAGGTCACATTCCTATTCAGTGGCCCTTTCTTCCAGTCAGCTACAGAGATCTTTATGGGTTCTGGTAACCCTTCTCTTGCCTCTTCAGACCTAGAGATGATAATGACTTTCAGGTGTTGCCATCTGAAGATATATAGCATTGTCCCTTGCTGCTTTCCCCAAATCCTGCTTACACCTTTGAAAATGCTTCCTTCATTACATTCTCTTGAATATATCAGGTAGTGTGCTTCTTTTTGCTAGGACCCTAACTGATAATATTCATCTATGTGCAGAACAGATTTGATACAGCCTCTCTCTCTGCACTAAACATCAATTACAGCTTCCCTTAGTAGCAGATGCAAACAGAAGCCCATGGATGCCAGTGTTGACTTTCTCAGGAGGGAGGGGTTTGAGGTACCCCAGCATGCTCTAAATGTTGTATCACCATTATGCCAAATCAAAGTCAATAAGTATAGAAAAAAATCTGTCAGTAATAACATAATCAAGCCAGGTGGTTGTGGAACCCCTGCTACTATTAGTAATTATATCATACTGATGACATATGTCATTATCATAATGCTGACATCATTCTACGAAACTAATATGCCCTAAGGAGTTGTTCCTTTCCTAACTCCCAGTTTGGATTCCTTTCAGGTGGCTTTAGGGGAGGAGGGTGGTGGTGGTGGTGGTGAAGATTTTGAAAAAATTTGCTTTTGTTGAATAACCTCCAGCATTTTGTGCTTTCCCTTTTCTCCTAACATTTGTTCATTCATCCACTCATTATTTAGTACATACTTATTGACTATCTGGTGGGTGCTAGACATTGTTTAGGCACAGAAGATAAAAATAAGCCAGTGAACCAATAGGACACAGTGCCTATCCTGACTATTGGGCAGTTCAGTTCTACTAACTTCAATTAATGAAACTTGATTCTGATAAAAGTTTGTTGGTTTGTTTTCTGTATATCATTTAATTTTTCTTTTCTAGCCACAAAAGGAAGGAATTGAAAAAAAGTTTGTTGAACTGGCTATTTGTTGAATCAGACTTTTTCTTTCTTTAAGTGAGCATTTTGGAACAAAGTAGAGGCCTGGATTATAACTATTTGGCCCTACTTGTTTTATACAGTTGATTTTTAAGTTAAATTTACCTTGTTTGGA